TTCATGCTAATTCCAACTTTGTAAGATGAGAAGAGGCAACAGAAAAAAAGCCCTGAAGGAAATAACAGGGTAACTAGAGACCACTTCTGCTCCTATGTCGTGTCGTCTCTTGCTGGGTTTTATCTTTGCATAAATACAGGAAGTTTCTTGCATAACTGGAATTTAAACATCATGCGTGTCCTGTGGAAATTTCCAACCGTTATTGCTGCTCCTGATAAACTCACCCCTAATTTAAAGCTTTCAGCTCTGATAAACTCTCTCATAATGAGGTCCTTTACTATTGCAGATCATTTGCATGAAAAAGACTGTTTGTGGTTCCATAGCTTAACTTGACCTCATTATTTCTGTGTTACAGTACAAATCTAATGGTCCCAGAGAAGTCAGCAGGAAGTCTATTTAAAACATCATTTACAACAGCAGTTAAATCTTAAATTTTTCATTTATATACAGTATATACCCATGAGGAAATCTCTGATCTGTTTGGAAGCAGTTTCTGAGATAAAAGTAGCTGTGACCAAACTGTGATCCTACAGTTTAAGCTGATTTCAGTCAGATAAGTGCGTCTGTTTGTCTTGGCCTGCTCTTATCTGCTGCAGCATCAACGCATTACTGCAGAAACCTGTTGGACAACTTCTCAGAATCACACAAATACAAAAATAACTAGAATTGCTGCTAAAACCAATAAACAAAAGGTGACTGAGGCAGAGAAAACAAACCCCACCCTTGTTGTTGTTATGAAATCAGCTTTCTGCTGTGATTCAGCCATGACAGGTTTCTATCTAACTGAAAGTTTTCTAAAACAAATGTTTTTATCTACATTTTGCTTCAGATTAAAATCAAAGAGCCATAACTATCAGCTTGTTGCTGTGATAAATGTTCGCCAATCCCTTCGTAAATTTTTTTAAAGGTTGTTGGTTTAATTCTCTGCTTCCATCCAACCGAGACGTTTGTTGGATACACCCAAACACAGGTGTTCTGTCAGATCAGCATACCTTAGTCAATACACATGCCAAGACGTCAGATTTGCATTTATCACTTTAGTTTTGTATGAAAAATAGATTTTTAGAAGGGCGTGTATGCCTTTAGTCATGTACAAAAAGAACAATTTAAGGTCAGATCACCATACGCTTCAAAAAACATCAAAAAGTAAATAATTCAATTGTTTTTTTCTACATAACTAAAGGGATACGCCAATTGAGGTACTTTAAAGACTATTTTTCGTACAAAACTAAAGGGATAAACTAAAGGGATAAGGTATTGACTATGGGTATGCTGGACTCTCAGTCTGATCAGTACTTTCATATTTAACTTGCAAAAACTCCATTTATTTCACGCCTGCGTTGGAGATTAGATCCAGGCTCTTCAGAATACTCGGGTCCTGTATGATCGGAGGCTCGGCTCTGAAACCAGAACCAGGAACCAACAGTTTCTGGAGGGAAATCTAGAATCCAGAGGTTCCTCTTTCAGGATGGCAGAACTGCTGTTTAAACGAACATCCCTCCAGCTGACATAACCAGCGCAGAAATATAAGTCTTCTGATCCAAAGTAAGGAACTGC